CATGCTACTGGCCCCTTTCCCAGATGACTAAACTGAGGCTTATACTTGCCCATGGCTGCACAGCCAGTTGGTGGTTTTGCCAGGAGTCAAACCCAGGTGCATCTGACCCCAAAGCACATCCTGGTCTTGCATAAAAATGACCAGGAAGCATTTGGTAAGTGCAGAGTCCTGGCCCCACACCCAACCCATTCTTGGGGTGAGTTCCAGGAAGCTGTATTTTGTTTTTTAAACAAGTTCCCTGGGTGAAGCCAAGGCCATCCTGAGGACTGGCTCTCACTAAACCACACTGCCTTCCTGGGAAAGGCCAAGGCCCTGAGGAGGGGACAATAAAAGGCAGCCACTGTCACCAGCCACCTTCCTCCTCACCAACCTTACATCCTCAGTCACTGTGGCCAACAGGACAAGAGGGCAGAGCTCAAGGCAGGAAGTACAGGGCGTCTTTACGGAGAGATGCGCCTGCCCTGCAAGGACAGACGTCAGGTCACACCCAAGGGACCCCAGACCAGATTGACCTGCCCCACTGAGGGGGAAGAGAAGGAAGGCAAAACCATGGGTGACATGGGGTCGGGGACACGTGTCTTTTCCTCTCATACCCCACAGTGTCCAGCCAGTGCATGTGTCACACACTCATCCCCCGCTGCAGAAAGCCCGCCCCTGGCTGCAGAGGGAGTGGCCTGCCGGAGATAAGGGAGATAACGGCTGAACCTGCTCCCCAGACTCAGAGGTGAATGCATCTCCCAGGGGCCTGGGTCAGGCGGCAGAAGCCAGGCCAAGGTCAGAGGCCGGGTTTCCAATAAACTCAGTTCTCTCGCCTCCCCCACTAGGGTCTCCAAGGGCCCCTGAAAACCTGCCACCTGGCTGGAAGAGGAAGTGGCCGTCGGGTGCCCAGCGTCGGGGGTGGGCTAGGGAAGACTCAGTGGCATCTTGGTTTGAAGGACACCACACCTCCAGTGACCTCGCGGTGCCTAATGAGTTCCAGAAAAGCGCTTTGTTCTTCCGCGGCAAGGTGGGAGATCAAAGCGGTTCTCCTAATCATCAGCGAGCATTAATTGCTCGTTAAGTAACCCGACCGGGTCAGACCCTGCTCTGGACCTCAAATCCTGGCGGCCTCGGGGAGCACCCTTGATCTTTCAACCCAGCCTGCCTACGATTGAGAGGAAGCCGCCCGAGAACCTGGGAACCGGAGGCCCGGTGGCCAGGCTTTCGGTTACCCCTTCCTTTCCGGTGAACTTTTTAACCCGGGCGGCAGGAAACGAATACACACGGCACCAGCCTCCCCTCCCCCACCACGGTGCAGTGGCTTCTCACCAACGCCCCAGGGAGTGAGGGAGAGCGAGGGAGAACCCCCCACGGCTCCAAGCTGTGTGGTCTGGGGCGCCCCGACAGCCTCTCTGCGCCCCTGCATCCTCGGCAGGACTGCGGGAGAACCGTCCACCTCTGGCTTCCTCCAAGGATGAAGGACACCAGCCGCAGAGTGGGAAGTGGATGTACCGGGAAGGTCGCTGACCCAGCTCTGCAAAAACCCACCGCAAACCCCTCCTGCGCCGCAGCCCAGGGGCAGAACCGGCCCAGCCAGCTGGCCAGGAGGAATCCGGGGACAGAATGTGGGAGGGGAAAACGGAAAGAAGGAAAGAAAAACAGGCCTGGTTCTAGATGCCTGGTGGAATATTACTCGACAAGAAAAGGCAGACCGATGGACGATACATCTTGGGAGAACCTCGAAAACACGACACTAAGCAAAAGAAGCTCGGCACAAAAGGCCACATTGTCATTTGATTCCATCATCAAAAACATTCAGAGCAGACGGGTCCATGAAGGCAGAAAGTGGACAAGCAGTTGCATCGGTGTGCAGAGAAAGCTGGGGGAAGGTAGAGATGAGGTTGCTTGTTTCTCTCTCTCTCTCTCTCTCTTTTTTTTCTTTTGTTTCAAGATAGGTTCCCGCTATGCTGGCCTGAACTCACTATGTAACCCAGCCTGGCATTGAACTCAGAGATCTTCCTGCTTCAGCCTCCTGAGTGCTGGGATTATAGGTGTGCACCACTATGTCCACCTGTCGTTTTTTTTTTTGTTTTTGTTTTTTTAGTTTTTTTGGTGGTGTTAAAGATTGAATCCAGGGCCCAGCACATGCCAGGCAAGTGCTCTACCAGTGAGTTACCACGTAGGCCGACTGATGAGGTTTCTTTCAGGGGGTACCATAGCTCAGGCTGATGGCTGTGCGAGGGAAGCACTGTTAAAAACTGAATGCTGGGGCCAGGAGACAATCCAGCGGCACAGCGCCTGCCTCACAAATGCAAGGTCCTGAGTTCGATTCCCAGTACCAAAAAATAAATAAATGGCCCAAGTGCAGTTCCTCCTGGGCCCCATCCTGCTCCCACTTCGGCTGAGGCTCCACTGCTGACTCTGGGTCATGCTGAACTGGCCACCCCAGTATCTTAGACAAGGTCGGGACCCCAGGAAAGAGCTTCCTGAAGATGGTTCCTAGAGAGAGGGAGTATAGGGCTGGTTTAAAAAGGGGAACCATTTTTTTTTTTAAATAAAAGAAAAGCTGCTGGGCATGGTGGCACTCTCCTATAATCCGGGAGGCTGAGGCGGGAGAATCCTTTGCAAATTTGAGACCAGCCTGGGCTACAAAGTGAGCTCAAGGCCAGCCTGAACTGCACAGTGAAACCCTGTCTCAAAAAGACAGAAAAAAAGTAAAAGGGGAAACAGCAGAACGCCCTAGGGTGGGCTGGGACCTCAAGGCCCCATCCACTCTGAGACAGTGAGGATACTGTGGCCTTTTGTGGACTGGGCAGCAGGCTGCGTCCCCAGCCACTTCCTGTCCTTTGGAGGCAGTCTCACAGGTCATCAAAATGCCAAGATTGGATCTGAACTCCTGACCCTCCTGCCTGAGGCTCCCGAGTGCTGGGACTGCAGGCATGGACCAACACGTCCAGCCCCGAGTTGGTCTTCTCAAGAGCATGTGCCCTAGCCAGAACAGGTAGCGCAGACCTGTAGTCTCAGCTACTTGGGAGGCAGGGGCAGGACGATGGCAAGTTCAAGCCAGCCTGGGCAATTTCGAAAGACCCATTTCATAACATAAGCTAAACTAAAATGAACAGGGAACAGAACTCCAGGACATAGCCCTTGCCAAGCATGCACAGAGCTCTGGGTTCGACCCCCATGAACACCCGAAAAACTCAGTAACGTAAGCCCGGGTTCTGCAAACCCCGATATTTCCCCAGGGGCGACTCCTCAGACACACAGCAACTTTCCTCTCCAGGCTCCCCACAGCCGAGTGCCCTGCTGCTTGGTTTTTTGAAACAGGGTCTCACTATGTTAGCCCAGAATGCTCTCCAATTTAGGGCAATTTTCCTGCTTCAGCCTCCTGAGTGCTGAGATTACAGGTGTGTACTAACACGCTCTGGGGTGATTTTTTTTAGTGATAGCAAAAAAAAAGTCTAAAATTAGCAAAAATCCCAGCAGGTGCCTAGGTGACAACTAATTTTATTTTTGGTTTCGATGCTGGGGATTAAGCCCATCAATAAACACATATTCTACCATGGAGCTACACACAGCGTGCTGAGCACCAGTCTCCCAAGGTTTGTCCTATTTAGCTCACGCGGCCCTCACAGCCACTTAAAGGCAGGGCCACAACCCCTCCTTTTTTTGGGGGGGTGGGCGGTTACTAGGGATCAAACTCACAAACTCAGTCTTGCCGGGCAGGCACTTGTGTCACTGAGCTGTATCCCCGCCAACAAACCCCTCTTTCCAAACCAGGAAGATCTGGTTCAGAAAGCTCACGTAAACCAGATGTGGTGGCACAGCCCTGTAATCCCAGCACTCAGGAAGCTGCGGCAGGAGGGTCCTCAGGTTCAAGGCCAGGCTGGGTGACATAGTGAGTTCAAGGCCAGCCTGAACTACATACTAAAAAGAGCTTATGCTACATTGCCTGAGCAACTGTTAAAGCTGAGTGCAGACATGGTAGATAGACGGCAGCTAAGTATGCCCTACCCAGCGCTGTCTCGGAGGACACACGTGACAAAACATCGCTTTCCCTGCCTGGCGGCCCCAGCCTCTGCTGCCAACCACGCTACCCTCAAGCCCTCTGTTCTACGAGTAACCTCACTTCTAATGTGCCAGTTTCTACACTGCACAAAATCGCGATTGCCCCCAGACCTGCTAGAGTCTAAACAAGACAAGGCTGTGGGGGTCTGGCGGGAAGTTATTCCTAGTCGTCTTCCCCGAGGTAACTATTACTATCCTTCTGACTGTCTGTGTCCTTCCTTCTTCCGTTAGGCATTTTTCCTGTGTGTTTTTCAGACAGGGTCGCACTATGCCATTAAGGCTGGTCTTGACCTCACAATGACCCTCCTGCCTCAGCCTCCCAAGGGCTGGGATTATGGGCCCGCGCCACCACGCCCGGTTTCAATCAGACATTTATATATATATATTTTTGTGTGTGTGTGTGTGTCTTTTTCCTTTTCATCGGTACCAGGGATCGAACTCACAACTGCCTGCTTGCAAGGCAGGCGCTTATGCCGCTGAGCTAAATCCCCAGCCCCAGACATTTTTATATTGACCAGTGATGAGATTTACAAAGAGAAAGAGGTTGATTTAAAAAAAAAATCACGGAGAAAAACAGTCTATGGAGCAGCTGAAGGAGCGAGGAGGAGCGAAGAAAGGAGGGAGAGAGAAAGTCCACCTGGGGAAGGAGGGGGGAAGGTCACTCCTCCGCAATTCTCGAGGTGACCACCAGGGGGCACTGCTCGAGGCGGCGACAGCAGCTGGGTAAAATGAACCCTTAAAAAAAAAATCCAGGGGCTGGGGGTTTAGCTCTGCAGCATAAGCACCTGCCGTGCAAGCAGGTGGTCGTGAGTTCAATCCGGGGTACCGATAAAAAGTTTAAAAAAAAATCCAAAAGCTTGCAAAGAACATAGCAACTGAAACATTTCGCCTTCACGGGGAGCTGCAACATTGACTTCTAGGAGGTGTGCAAGGCAGGGGGAGCTGCCTCTTACCTTCGGAGTCTTCTTTGGCCAACTGACCACAGGGACTCCGGTGATGGCCAGGCTGGGGTCGTCCTCTGCGTGCTCCTTCAGGACGTTCTGTGCCAAACAAAAGAGCCATATTAGCCCACGGGATGCAGCGGAGCTTCTGTGAGGTCAGATGGCACACCTAACCCACGCCCTCTCCCGCCCACAGCCTTGCCTCCCCTGCCTCATCTGTTCTCTCTGTGGCCCCCAAATTCTACTGTGTTCACAGACTCCAGAGCTCTAATTCTTCTGTCTCTCCTCCACGCTATTTGTACCCCACCCCAGCTGTGTTTGGTTTGGTTCCTTGTGAAAGACTTGCAATATAGTTCAGGCTGAACGGAGAGCCTCCTGCCTCAGCCTCCCAAGTGCTAGTATGGCAAAGTGGCCCACCAGGCCCGGCTGTAACTGTGTTTCGACACAAGCCCTGAACACAGGTAGAAGTTTGGTCTGGTTTGACAGAGGATGCATTTACCAGGCAAATGCTGACAGACAAAGCCACTGTGATGGACACACAAGCTCGGGGTTGCCCACCTTGCATCCCTTCCTCTGGGAGCATCAGGAAGCATCTTTCAGGGTATTTCTGACCCCAGTGAATGGAGGTGTATGCAGCTGACGAGGGGACCTTGTGCAAGTGTGAAATACCACACCACAGAATCATCCGTACTTGTAGGTGACGTGATCGAGGCCTGGAAAATCTCCGAAGCCACCCCAGACAAAGGGAGGCAGAGCTCTCAAGCCCACCCCTGTCACCCTCCCTGCCACAGCTGGCCTGGCCCTCCCTATGCCTCGGGTGTTTCATCCACAGCACCCGGGTAAGACCCTGTGTGAGGACACAGGCCAGGCACTGCCCTCCCCTCAACCTCAGCTAGGAATTTAGGGGTTGCACAAAAGCATTCTTTTGGGGATAGTTAAGAACAGGGCTGAGCATGGAATTGTACACCTATAATCCCAGTACTGAGAAGGCAGAAGCAGGAGGATTGCCATGAGTTCGAGGTCAGCCTGAGCTACATAAACTAGTTTAAAACCAGTCTGAATTACATAGTGAGACACCAAAAAAAGAAAAAGAAGGTGGATACAGTGGCATACCCCTGTCATCCCAGCACTCCGGAGGCTGAGGCAGGAAGATTGTTGCAAGTTTGAGACCAGCTTGGGCTACAAAGTGAGCCCAAGGCCAGACTGAACTGCATAGTGAGACCCTGTCTCAAAAAAAATGAAAAGCAGAAATTTCAAGTGAAACTTGACCCTGAAATTACTATGTAGCCCAGGCTGGTCTTGAACTCAAACTCCAGGCAATCCTCCTGCTTCAGCCTCCCAAGAATGCTAGGACTACAGGTATGCACCAAGCTTTGACTTTAGTTATAATAATTAACTGTAAGGAATGCCTTTATTTACTAAAATGTTAACAGCAGAAACTAGGGATGGGTGTGCATACAAGAACACTACTACCTGCTAAATTCTTCTATAATTTTAAAACTATTGTAAAATAAAAACTATTAATAAGACAGGCATGGTGGCAGATGCCTATAATCCCAGGCAGGGAGATCATGCCAAGTCCAAAGGAGCCTGGGCTAGAGTGGGTTCAAGGCTAGCCTGTACTACATAGCCAGGCCTTGTCTCAAAAATAAAATAAATAAAATACGGAGCCACAGAAGCGAGGACCTTCATCTACTCCCTGCAGATAGCGCAAGCCGGAGTCCAGCCACTCCCAGTCCCCAGGGGCCCCACTACAGCGCATGCGCACAGCCCCAGCCCGCCCGGCCCGCAGGAAGCACCTCTCGGTTCCCTGCACCGAGGAGCCTCACACCACCCTCCCACACACGCAGGGGTTCGGTTTCGTAACGTTTCCTGTTTCCCCAAAAATCCACCAAGCTTTCAAAAGAGCTTACCGGAAAGATGTGTCACACTTAGCAAAGGTTTTCAATTCCTTCTTATCCATAGGCCCCAGGTGCCTGGGAGAGGCCACCCGTACCCAGGACTTCCTGTCTCCGGAGCCCAACCAATCCCAGACCCCAGACTGCGGGGACCCAGGCGGGAACCAAGGCAACAGGGAGTGGGGGGCTCGCCGTGAGCTGGGGCCCCAGCCCCATGGGGAAGGCGCTGTTCTTAGGTCCAGCCTCCTGCCTTCCTAGGGGAAGGCCGGTCCCACCAAATCCGAAGTCTGGAGTGGAGTTTCACTTCACATCTCTGCTTTTTATTTTTTTTTTGTACCGGGGATCGAACTCATGACCTCGAGCTTGCAAGGCAGGAGCTTAGGCAGCTGAGCTAATTCCCCAGGTGTTTTTGTTTTGTTTTGTTTTGCTTTGCTTTGCTTTGTTTTGCTTTTTGAGACGAAGTCTCGCTATGTAGTTCAGGCTGGCATTAAATTTGTGTAGCCCAGATTAACCTCAAACTCACGGGAATCCTCCTGTCTCAGCCTCCCAAATGCTGGGATTACAGGCATGCGCCACCACACTCGGCTTCTGCATTTTAAAGATGCTGACAAATTAAAACTTTTTTTTTTAATTGGTACCGGGGATCGATTTCACGACTGCCTGCTTGCAAGGCAGGCGCTATGCCACTGAGCTAAATCCCCAGCCCCAAATTAAAACTTTTAAAGAAGGGCTGGGGATATAGCTCAGTGACACGACCACCTGCCTGGGAAGTGCAAGGTCCTGAGTTCGATTCCTAATTAAAAAAAAAAAGACTTTTAAAGAAAGCGCTGTGAACTGAAAGTACTGAGGCTGATGTAGCTCGAACACTGGAGAGCACGGACTGAGAAGCATGCTGCTTGCCCTGTGTTCTTGGGAGTTTTCTTTTGAGCTGTTTCAAAACGCCTGGTCATTTCAATATCAGAGCCGGAGCCAGTAACTCACAAGTATTAATATCTGGTTACAAAAAGATATTCCTGGTGTTTCCAAGGTGTGGTGGTGCACACTCTAGTCTCAGTATTCAGGAGGCTGAGGCAGAAGGATCGCCCTGAGTTTGAGGCCAGCCTGGGCTCTGTAGTAGGTTCAGAGTCAGCCTGAATTGCATAGCAAGAATCTATCTCCAAAAAAAATAATGTTATACATATTAGCAAATAAGTACATTAAAATGATAATTTTTATACATAATTTTAAAACATTTTCACAGGGTCTCGATATGTACCTCAAGGCTGGCCTTGAACTCACTATATAACCCACATTAGCCTCAAATTTGCATCGATCCTCCTTCCTCAGGCTCCCGAGTGCTTACAGCATGCCTGTAATGCCAGCATTGAGGCTGAAGCAGGACTGCGAGATTGAGAGGAGCCTAGCCTTTGTGACTCTGCCTCAAAACTCTGTGTCCGTGGGTCCGTGTGTGTGCGCGTGTGCGTGTGTGTGTGTGTGTCCGTCCCTCGTGGCCAGCAGAGGGCGCCCGAGGCGCTACTCCTGAGCTCCCGCGCACACCCCAGGGCGCCCCGTTCTCAGGCTGGAGGCCACGCCCCCGGCACCGCCCGACCCCGCCCCTCTTCTCTCCTCCAAGAGGTCCCGCCCAGCGCTCCCCGTGGTGAGGTAAGGTAATAATGAGAAACTCAGTCTGCAACCAGACTAAAAATACCCCGCGGTGCTAACAAGGCAGCGCAGGGGCAGGAGGCAGAGCAGCTCCGGGAGCCCGCAGCGACAGACGACAGCCACAGGCACGGGCTAGGACAGCGGGCTGCTGACCCCCTCATGAGCCCGACCCTCTGTGCTTGCTGTGTCCCCGAGTCCTAAGCCCCAGGGCACGGCAGTGCAACCCGACACAGGAAAACGGCCTGGCCCGTGGGTGGATCGGGTTTCCTGCGCACCGAGGCCGCGCGAAGGCTCTACACTCGCTGGCCACGCCCGCAGGCTGTCACCGGTGCTGTCTTACCCAGGAGCAGTCAGCTGGGCACAGGTGTGTGTCCCTGGGAACTCTGTGGACTTTAAGAGATTCCCAACACATGAAGCCAAGCGTGGTGGCACACAGCTGCAATCCCAGCACCAGGAGGCTGAGGCAGGAGGACTGCTGCCAGTTCAAGGCCAGCCTGGGCTACACAGTGAGTTCAGGGGCAGCCTGAACTATACAGCGAGATCCTTTCTCAAAAACAAAAACAATAACAGAGAGAAAGAGAGAGAGAGGGAAGGACGGAGGGAGAGAACACCTGGCCAGGTGTTATGCCAGTTTCTCAGGAGGGAGGCCGAGGCAGGAGAATCACAAATTCTAGGTCAGCCTGGTGACTTAGCCAGACTCTCTCTCAGAACACTAAAATCAGAAAGGGGCCGAGGACGTAGCTCAGTGAAGTCCTGGTCTCTGTGCTCAGTTGGTAATGAAGAATCTAAGTACTTCAGCAGGGCCTAAAAATTCACCAGACGTGGTGAATTCACCCAGATGGACAGAACATGTTAGGTCCGATACTCTGTTTTACGCACAGGTAAAGAGAAAGGTAAACAGAAAGGTGGGTTGGAGTGAGCTGCCCAGGGCCACACAGCACGCAGCTCAGAGCAGACACCAAGCGCACTCTGGCCTCTCTGTCCTGACCTCCTATTTGCACCCATTTGTACACCTCAGGGTCCCTAGGGAGTAAGAAGGGCATCCCCGGTCACCAATGGCACCCTGGCCACTCCCTGGAGGGGGCGGGAAGGCCAGCACTGCATCCACACCACCAAGGCCCGTTCTAGAAGGAAAGCCCAGAACTGAGTGACCTCTTGCAAAGCAGGGACATTGCCTCCATTAGGGCCCCAGCAGCCTGGCAGCATCGGGGCACGGGCCTGTGGCCAGGGCCCAGCTGCTCAGCCCACCACAATCCCTCCACCGCCTGTCTATAAAATGGGGCAACACCGGGCGGAGAGGAGTGCTGGGAGGGCTCCTCCCTGAGGTCACAGACAGGAAACGCCCGCGGCAGCCGCACTGTCCCAGGCAGACACTGAGCCTCCCGGGTCCCCAAGACCCGCTTGAGCCCCTGTGGACCCCAGACTGGCTGTACAAGGAAAGAAATCTGACCAAGCAGGGGCCAGGAATGCCACACACAAGCACTTCAGCCACATGAGGGGGCTCGCTAAAGTTTCAAGAAACTCTTCAGACAAATGAGTTCTTAACCCAGTTAAGAGACTTGGGGAACCATACTATTTTTGTTTTGAGTTGATGAAAATGTCCTGCTTCCATTTTATAAGATGATCTCAGAAGGTAAAAGCAATCATGAGCTGGGTGTGGTGCCAAATGCCCAAGATCCCAGTGCTCTGGAGGCTGAGGCAGGAAGGTCCCTGGGAATTCGAGGCGAGTTTGGGCTACAAAGCGAGCTCAAGGCCAGCCTGAACTGCAGAGCGAGCCCTCGTATAAAGAAACCAGATCCATTCATAAGGAAGGATTGGGGAACCCCTTTGGGGAGGGGTTCTTTGACCTAGAAGTTTCCCAAGGTATATACTTCCCTCTCTCCATTCAGGAAGGTGCCTGCTATTCGAGGTGAGGTGACAGCTGGAGTGGCTCGGTGGCAGGCCGTCCACCTAGCACAGGGCAAGCCGGGGTTCCATCCTCCCACAGCAAAAAAACCGTGAGGAAGCTGGACTGGGGGGCAGCGGGGTCGCGCACCGGCGCCCTCTGCTGGTGGGCCCTGTCGGCTCCGCGATGTCCGCTCTGGTCCCTGTGCCCTCTGAGTAGGGCAGTCACGGTAATACTTTTTTTTTTTTTTTTTTGGTTTTTGGAGACAGAGCCTGACTGTATACCCAAACTGGCCTTGAGCTCACAGCAACCCTCCTGCCTCAGCCTCCCGAGTGCTGGGATTACAGCGTGAGCCACCAGGCCCAGTGAGTCATAGGTTTCTAGAACCCAGGGTCGGGTGCAGTTTCGTAAACGAACAAATGAACTGCTCATCCCTGAAAGGGAACTGGGCAGCCGGCCAGGCCGGACCCCTGCAGGCCCGGAGGGGAGGCCCGGCCCGAAGGCCGGGAGCCGCAGCACGGCTGCCCCCCGTCCCGAGGGACTCCAGCAGTGCCCCCGCAGAGCCCCGCGCGTCCCGGCCCTGCCCACCTTGACGCCCTCCAGCAGCGCCTGCGGGTCCTCGATGCCCTCCGGGACGCACTTCTTGTTCTCGGGCAGGGACTCGAGCTTCTCCACCAGCGCCTTCAGCCCCTTGAGCTCGAACTCGGTGAGGTGCGTCCACTTGGCGGCCACCTCGGCGGCGGGCGAGCCGGTGGGCGTCTTGGGGCAGTCGCCGGGCGCGGTGGCCGACTTCACGCTGTCCTCCGACTCGTTGGACAGGGTCCTCTTGAGGAAGCGCGCGGCGGGCGCCCGGGGCTTCTTCCCCGGCGGCGTCTCCTGCTCCTCCGAGGCGGTGGCGCCCGGCGAGGCGGGGCCCTCCGTGCAGGCCTTGGGGGTCCTCTGCGCCCCTTCCACCGCCTCCTTTTCCTCCTCCTCCTCCTCCTGGGGCTGCTGCTCACAGGACTCCTCCTCCATCTCCAGCCAGGAATCGGATGAGAAGCCGTCTACGCTGGCCTTCCGTGGGGCGTCTGCATGGATCGGTCAGAAGGCAGACGAATTAGCACCCAGCTCCCACCGCTGCACCCTGCACCCTGCCTTCGAGGCCACAAAAGAAGGTGAAAGCCCAGCTTGGCTCCTTCTGGCTCTGTGGCCCCCCAGTACACACAGCACCTCATTGAATGTACAAAAAGAAGCCAAAAAGGCCAAGTGCAATGGTGCACACCTGCGATCCCAGCTACTCAAGAGGCTGAGGCAGGAGGATGCAAAATTTAAGGTCAAGCTAAGCAATGTAGTGAGACCTTGCATCAAAGTAAAATTAAGTTAAAAGGAGCTGGAGATACAGCTCCCTGGTTTGTTTGTTTGTTTGTTTTAGCTCCCTGTTTTTAATCCCCTAAACCATCACCACCACAAGCAAAGCAAAGCAAAACAAAACCAACATACATTGTAAGACACCATTCATTTGAAACACTACTAACCAGAAAACTACCACAGATATAAAATGGAGGCAGACGAGGTGCCCCACACACTGGAACCCAGTCCTCTGGGAGGCTGAGTCAGGAAGATCATGAATTTTAGCCCAACCTGGGAAGTTTAATGACGTAATGAAATTCTGTCTGAAAATAAAAGACGAAAAAGGGCTAGGGATGTAGCTTCGTGAAAAGGCCCTGGATTCAAATCCCAGAAGAATTAAAGAAAAAAGCAAGAAAGCGGATTAGCAGGTGCCTCAGGCTGAGAGAGAACGGGTGGCTCTCTCGGAACATTCTCTCTGAGTGGCAGTGCTGACGACAGCATTCACCTGTGAGGAGACCACGCACCACTGACCGGCAGGCTTCACGGGGACGACTGTATGAACACTGAGCAGGTTGCAGCTCAGTGGTACAGCATTTACCCAGCATGCACAAGGCCCTGAGTTATCCCCACAAAAGAGGAAGAAGAAAAAGAAAAACAGAACGAACGAAAGGAAGGGAGGGAGGGAAGGAGGGAATGAAAAGCGAGGTAAGAGCACTTCTGAGCTGGCACCTGGTAACACCCGTGATTCTGCTGGAGGCTGAGGCAGGAGGATCGCAAACTCAAGCCAAGCCCAGGAAACCCAATGAGATTCTGTCTCAAAATAAAATGAAAAGCCTGACGGGCAGCTCAGAGCACTTGTCCAGCAGGTGCAAGGCCCTGGGTTTCATCCTGAGCTTCATTTCACAAATGAAACAACGCAAAACAAAACAACTTTCCTCTGAAGGCTGTGAGGGACTGCACAGATACCACCAACCTTGCTCCTGGCACCAAGCAGCCTCCAATAAACAAGGGCGACTTCCTCCCTTCTCCTGGCAGACAGATAGACCAGAAATGCCCAGGGCAGAACAGGGGCAGACAATGTGGGTGGACACCAGGTGCCCAAACCCTGCCTTAAGATATCCTCTCCTGTCCTCAAATGGATTCGGGAACATTCTACTGCCCTAAATATCTGAGAAAGAGAACCCATCTCCGTTCCCCATCAGGAGAGCTGCTACAAACTACCAAGTCTCTCCACAGTACCCACCTCTGGTCCCCACAGGAGTGGAAAGCTCCTGCCATCCCGTCAACCTTCCTGCTATTTCTGGAGTGCCTCTCATTCCCTCTACTTAGATCAAATATCCCAAAGAGCAGACAGTGGGCTTACGTATTTCCCAACACCCCAATATCCCATCACCTGAAAAAAGTGAATCTCATAGCAGCCCCCACAGAACTCCCAAAGAACCCCCTGGTCAGGTGTGGTGATACACACTTGTTATGCCAGTACTCGGGGAAGGCTGAGGCAGGAGGGTGGCAAGTTCAAGCCCAGGCTGAGTAACTCAGTGACTTAATAAGACCCTGTCTCAGAATGAAGCACAAGAAAGGGGCTGGAGATACAGCTCAGTGAGAAGGCCTTGGGTTCAACCCTCAATACGTCCAACCCCGCAAGCAGAAACAAGAATCCCTTGATCTGAGGCCTGGCCCAAGCCCTGCCTTAGAAGGTTTCTGTCCAGGCTGGATGCGGTCACTCACCAATGAGCATGGACTCTCTCTGGTACTCCTGCGTGAGGTAGGAGCGCTGGGTCACGCAGTACACATATCTCTCCAAGACATACCAGCACATCTCATAGTAGAAGGGGTACCGGAACTTGGGCTGCACCTGAAAGCCAAGACCAGGCAGCCACGGGTCAGCGTCTGGGGGACACAGGGAGAAGAGGGAGAGCCCAGGGGAGGGCCCCCGCGGCGGGTCACTGTCATCCTCCAGGAAGGGCACAGAGCGCACAGAGGAAGATGGGGGAGGGGTGCTGCTGGAGGGGAGGCGAGAGGGGGGCGCCGGGAGGAGACGATGCCAGCAGCATGCACGGATGAGGCGGAGGGGAGGCCTGTGAGAGGGTCCCTGAGCTGCACGCCCAGGAAGGAGGCCGGGGCCCACTCTGAGCTTCTGGGAGGGGTACAGAAAGTGCACCCTGCCTGATTCCAGCCAGGACAGACAGGAGCTCCTCCTAGAATATTTTGCACACACTCTGCTGTCTCTGCATCCCCTCTGAGAACAGAAATCCACGCCAAACCTTGCCCATCTGCAGACAGGTAAGGAGCATCCTCCTGCACTCTGCGAGACCAGGTCAGGAGGACCTATGGAGTCTGGGTGGGGCTTCACCTACCTGCAGGGGAGGGGCCTTAGGCTAAGAGGGCCAATGAGGACAGGGGGTATGACCTCGTCTACCTACAGGGGCGGGGCCTCAGGCCGGGCGGACCAATGAGGACGAGGTGTGGCTCTATCCACCCACAGGGGCAGGGCTTCAGGCTGGGGGGGCCAATGAGGATGAAGTGTGGCTTCATCAAGCCACAAGGACAGGGCCTCAAACTGGAGGGACCAATGAGCAAGGGGTGTGGTTCCACCTACCTCCAGGGCAGGGCCTCAGAAGTGTCCACCTCCACCTCTTCCCCCAAACTGCACTGCCCATTCCATATTTCCCCCAAGGGCTCTCGGGACACAGTTTCATGGTATGACTGCTACTAAGAGATACACTTCCAGGTCTGGAGCCAGAAACCACATGGACGACGCTCCTGGCTGGCTCTTTTTTTTGTGGTAGTACTGGAGATTGAACCCAGTCTTGAGCATGGTGGGCAAGTGCTCTATCACTAGGCTACATCCCCAGCCTGGCCCTTTTTTGGCTTTTTTAATTTCGAGACAAGATCTAGCTAAATCGGTAAGCTGGCCTCACACTTGCAATCCTCCTGCCTCAGCCTCCTAAAGTGGCTGAGACTACAGGCGTAGGCCTCCCTTTCGGCTGGTTCCTTAGCTGTGTTTATAGGAGGGGAGACAGTATATACCAGTACTAAGAAAAGGCCTGAGGCACTTGGGGATCGCAAGGATGGCAGTGTAGGATCCACACACAAGGAATGGCAACCAATGGTGGGAAAGAAACAACACCACCAGGCCTGCCATGGAGGCACGTGCTGGCAACTGAATCCTAAGTGGACACAGAGAGTGGGCCATCTCCCATCGCAGGGCCCTCGGACGTCCACATGCACACGTGGGCTGCTGTCTGACTCTCTGGCCCACAGTGCTGGAGCCCCTCCTCACCGCTCCCATGCCCAGGATCTCCGAGAGCTGGAACCCAGCAAGCACAGCCTCACCCACCCATCCTGGTCTTTCTGATGACAAGAACAGGACAGCACTGCACACTTCGGGGACAAAGAGAAGACAAGCAGACCTAAAATACATCTTTGTGCCCGCCCAGAAGACTCTCCTTCTGCTCTGGGCCCCTCGCCCGCTCCTCCTAACTTGCTCTGTGGCTACGCTGCTGCCCTGTCCCCAGTTTGAGGCCTCAGTGCTCCCGTGTGGGGAATCAAGTCCGTCTGCTGCCCCTGCTGTCCCTGCCACTGGTGGACAGTGAGCTCTGGGATGAGACCATGGGCATCGCATGCGTCCCACTCTTTGGGGAAGCGTGTGGGACTGGGTCACCATCTAGCGTTTTCCTTGGCTCCAGCTATTTTCTGAGGGCCTCAGTCTGTGGCCGAGACAGAATTGCTCTTTGTTCAGTTACTGCATCGGTGCCCCCTGGAGCTCACCAAAGAGGGAGACTCTTCAGCAGGAAGCTGACCTTAGCCTCCTGCCACCAAGGGTCCAGAGCAGAGGCTCGGATTTGGAAAAAAAAAAAATACCAAGCGAGCAGAGGAAGAAGCCCCTCACATCCAATGGGAGACTTGGCTGGTAGAACTCGGAAGCTCATTTTGAGCTCTGGAATTTGTGTGTGTGATCCAAGCCACTGTGCCAATCACAGGCACTGTGATGCCTAAGAACCCTAGTAAATCACAAGGGGTAGAGCAGGGGTACGGTATATCAGGAGGGGAAGATAAAGGAATCTCCCCTCTTGGTTGCTGAACCCAAGGGAAACCAGCCAGGTTAAAACAAATGCAGATGAAGGAACTCAAGTGTTTTTATTTTTGTTGTTGCTGTTATTTTTTTTTTCCAAGAGAGGACTGCAGGAAACAAAATTTGCGAAGAATTAATTTACAAATGGGATGTCGCCTTCTACCCTTCGCCTTCAAAAGCTTTTGACCACATGCCTGGGAACATTAAACACACGATTGCTCAACATTACTTGGTGACAAATTTAGAGCCTCACCAAACTGAGCTGTTAACTGACCTCAGTCCCAAAACAAAGGGCCAGGCAGGCAGGCAGCCCGCACTGCCCCCCAGCCCGGAGGGAAGTCCAACTGCCAGCGGGCCTTAGTGAGTCCCAGCAGCCCATCCAAGTGGCACTGGGCCTGCCACCCTAAGAGTCCAGGTCATCTGGGATCTGAGTGCTTCGGCGATGAGAAGGCATCTCCATCTATCTAGAACTCCTGGGTCTCAAGGAGTTACAATGAGGGTGGTGGAAGTGTCTTAAAATTTGTTTTTCTCCTGGAAAAAAAAAATCAATGGGAAGGGAAAAAATCCAATGGCAGAGGGAAGGGGAGGGAGGGGAGGTTGTGTGCAGTTTCCACTCACTGCTGCGCTGCCATTACCTTTGCTGGGAAGGCTGCTTTCACTTGAGCCATTCAGGAGGGGGGAAAAAAAAGTAAGCATAAGACAGAGGCAGTTCGGTGAGTGCCCATCTGGACCATCCCTACCCCTCCTCACCCTGACTCTATTCCAATCCCAGAGGGATTATGGCAACCTTGGCGGAGAAAAAGCAGCACACAGATCCTCCTGGGTGGGGCCTTCCAGATCTTATGAATGGGTCCAATTCCATCCACGGGGGTTGGAGATCCACAAGTCCCCACAGGCTCCGACCGTGTGACGCTGCAGGGACACTGCAGGGTGAGGTCACCTTCCCTCCAGCCCAGAGAAATTAGACCGGTGACAAGGCGTGGCTTCCTAATGGGCACCTTCCTAATGGGCACTTCGGGGTTCCCTGGTCTGGACGGACGGAGGTCCATCCCCTTCCAGGCCACAAAGGCAAATTTCTGTTCTCAGACAGATCCATCCCATGGGCCTTCGGGCTGTGTTTTCCCTGCCCCACCTCCTGCATTTGGTTTCCAAGCAATGCTATGTTTCAGGACTCTTGGAAAAAAAACTATTTTTAAATGGCTGTAACCTTCTGAAGGGAGCTTTCCGGGACACAAAGAATGAAGCTGTAGTGGGCTGACGAGGGGTCCTGGCACCTTCTCGGGCTTCCAGGACTCTCTGCTCAACGCCTTTGGTCTGCTTTGGCTTCTAAGACACAAACAATTGGGCCTTGTAGCCAAGTCCCTCTCCAAAGACCAGAAATCAAAGCAGATTAAAACGCCTGCCAGCCGCGGGCCCTCAGGCAGCTCCTGCTTCAGGGAATCCAGTGGAGTCTCCAGAGGAAGAACAGAGCCTTGGGGGAGGGGTTCTGCCAGTCTCAAAGCCAGAGGTCCCCTGCCACTCTGGCCCTTGCCTCAGCCCTGCAGGGAGGGGGTTGGGATACTCTGGGTGCACCAGGGATTCCCAGGGGAGGGGACAGTCCCCAGCTAGTTGCCAGAGCCTTCTGAAATCCCTGCTGGGCTGTCCAGCTTTCAGGAATTGCTTGGAAAGTCGAGGTCCCTCTCTACATGGCTCCATTTCTATCCACACCCACTGGTCAGCTCGCAAACAAACCAGCCTGCTCTTCAGGGCCGGCCAAAGAACAGTTGGCTGGAGCCCCAGACAGCACTTGACCCAACTGAGAGATGACCACTTCTACCCAGCAGGGCTTTTCTCCTGAATGGCACAGGGCGCACGCTCTAGTCCAGTACTGGCCAGCCTTTCCCAGAGGGGCAGGAGGGTGGGTGGGTGATAAAGGGTGGGGGTGAGTCCACAAACCAAGGGTCCTTCATCAGCCCTGGACATGGCCAGAGACATGCACACATCAGGTGCCTGCCCAAGGCCAAGCCCTCAACCTCGGGAATGCTAAAGGCGTCAGACACACAGCGTGGCTGAGGCTCTGACTCAGGCAAAAGATTCCACGGAAACCGAGGCCTGGAGAGAAGACCAGGAAGGGTGGGCTGGGCCCAGAACAGCCCTTTGTGAGATGCTCCCGGGGGCACAAAGCTCTCTCGAAGGCAAACCCAGGAAGAATTAGCCCAGCACACCCATGCAACAGCCAGGTGTCCAGGTGCAGGAAGGGAGGAGCCTGGCAACCGTGGTGCTGCCTGAAAGGAGCCAGCCGCAGGTCACACCTGTATGATTCCACCTGCACGTGCCGGCCAGTGGCAAATCCGCCGATGGAAAGCAGATGGGACACTGCAGGACTGGGTGAGGGGGCAGTGGGCATGAGGGAGCACAGGGTCTCTTCCCCGAGTGCTGAAAATGCTCTGCGGTTAGGCTGACGGCTCCATGACCTTGTGACTATGTAGACAAACGGCCACTGACTCGGGCACTTCCAATGGTAAACTTTATAAGATATGAATTATATCTTGATTAAAATCAAGGAACTTTAAATATCTAAGTAAAGACAAAAAAGAGGAAGGCGGAGAAGATGAAACAGGCTTTCTTTGCCCCAGGCCTCCAGTTTCTGACCCTTGAACCTGCCTGGGGCCTGGGGACACTTGGGCAAACCCCAAGTGTGGAAAAGGGGTTGGCAACATGGACACTGGTCCTGGGGCCTGGGGCCTGGGGTTGGGGTGACAATGGTATCCAGAGGGGGGAGCATGCTGTGGTCTGGGGGCGCCTCAGCCCCTGCAGGCACAGCCTGGCTCCTCTTTACCAGGTGTCAGGGTCCCTGAGGAAGGCATGGCCTGACCTTGGACCAGCCAATCCCTCTTCCCCAGCCCCCCACTGCCTCCAAACATCAGCATCCACCGACCCCACTGCCCCTCGCACCCCGTTCTACGGGCAAGAAGGCCAGGTTACTGGTCTCTCACGACAGCTTTCTCAAGTTGAGTTTCCTCTTCCATCAGAGGGATTTTGGCTGTCTCTGGCCTGGAGGTGAATGAAAATTCTGGGGCCTTGCAGGGTGAGCTCCGGTGGGGATCTCTCTCATCCCAACCCCCTCGTTGCAGAAGCAGCACTGAGGCCCGGCCTGAGGCCCAGCGGGAGGGAGGCGGGCTGCAGTGGCCGGGCACCGTGCCAGGAATGAAGGCGCTGCCTTACCCGGGTTCTGTCCTCGATCTCGTAGATCCGCAGCTGCATGGGCACGTTAAAGCTGTGCAGGATGTTTCCGCCGAACACCAGGGAATCCACAGGGGTGTAGACCGCATGGATCCAACCTGGGGGCAGCAAAGGGAGGGTAAGCCACCGGCCCTGGGGGGCCCCACCATGCTAGGCTGCTAGAGCGAGGGAAAGGGGGCACAGGAAGGCACAGGGAGCAGAGTGTGGAAAGCCTCAAATCCCAGCTGGCCCGGAGGACTTAGGCCACTGAGCCCCATGTGCCCCCTGTACCCCGTAACTCCAACAGGGCAAGGAGAAACTGCAGAGCCCCACCCTGAGGACTCAGTTGACCAAGCCTTCCTCCTTGGACCTGGCTGCAGCCACCAGATGGAGAAACAAGTCCTGTTTCTGACTCCCACGCTGGCCAGGGCACTGAGGAGCTGGGGGACCCCTCCTGGTCTGCACATCATCTTCCTGTCCCTGAGAACAGCAGCCTGGGGAAGCCCTTTGAGCTCACCAGAGGCACAGGGCCCGCTCCGGTCATCAGCCTTCCCATGCCCCTTTCCAGTGGTCTCCTTAGCCACATGCCACCAACATCCTGCTTGGCTCTGCATCGGCTCTGCCACACAGGCCGAGGGGACAGACGGCCTCTCCCCTACACACTGAGGCTTCTCCAAAGCAGGGGGCCGAGCTTTCCCTCTCCCTGGAATCCCAGGCCAAAGCCCAGCATGGGCACAGAGGGAAGGATGCCAGAGCGCTCTCTGAGCCAAAACATTACGCCCGTTAACACCCACAGGAGCCCTAGCACATCTAGCACACCCAAACCCAATGTACAGATGAGGGAAATGAGGCAGGGATACACGAATCGCCTATCGGGATTCTGCAGCCAGGAAGTCAGCCTCTGCCTGGTCCACGGAGGCGAGGGACAAAGACACCACCTCATTCAGTAGGAACCACCACACCACAGCTTGGATGGCTGCGCCCCACACCGTAAGCCCCTAAGCGACCGGCAGGGCTCCGACCGAAGCACAGGACACAGAGCTGGGGGACAGAGCTCTGCAGCAACTCTGATTTACAGACGCAAAAGCGAGGCTCCAAGGAGGGGAGCCGTGCGCTAGAGCTGGCACAGCTGGCACGGGAAGCAGCTCTGTTTTTAGCTGTGACTGCACGAGAGTCCCAGAGTCCCGGGGGACAAGCATGGAGACACACAGGGGAGGCACAAAGAGAAACACGATGAGGAATCAGGGACAGAGGCAAAGACAGGCGCAGAGCGAGAGACACTGGCATCGAGGCCAGAGGAGGGAGGCTGAGACAGGGAAAGGAGACTCAGATTCCGCATCTGATTCTGTGGGAAGAAGTGCAGAGCCACTGCCCACCTCCCCCGAGCCCAGGCGGTTCCAGCCTCCTTCCCCTGGAGAGCTGAGACACACCAGGCCTGTGTCGCAGGCAGCTGATACTGCCGGGGACAGAGCTGCCACCGTACAGAGGCCGCCAGATGACAGCCAGAAGCCTGGACGCTGGCCATCCCCTGTGGGCAGAGCCAGCCAGCCCCAGGGGACGGCAGGGAAGGTGGTCACCAAGAGCCCTGGCCCGCAGACAGGAGCGAGGCTTTGCTTTTTTAAGCTCCTTCTGCTTTCCGCTCCCCGGAGCCTGGCTCAGGCCATCAGAGGCCACTGCGCAAAGATGTGGAGCCACCTGGACAAAAAGACAATGGCAGTCGCCTTTAGAGGGGGTCGGCTTCTGCTGGCTCCTCTCGCGCCTCTGCCCCTGCAGCCTCTGCAGCCACACTTCTGTCCCTCCCGCTGGCGGCAGAACAGGGCTCCACTGTCTGTCACCGCTACACTGAGGTCATTGTCGCATGGGCAGCATTCAGGCGACCCTTCCCGGGATGGGCTGGTAGCTGCCCAGGTCTCCCAGACCTGCCCCGTCCTTCTTCCCGAGCCCACCGCCCCGTCCACACACAGCCTGAGCCCGCTGGCCTGGCTTCCAGGCTGCCCCAGCGCTGATGGCTACGCAGCAGGGAACACTCGCGTGTCTGCCGGCCTCGCAGTGTCTGCCTGCCGCTCCATGGGCAGCTTGGGGAGGAAAAGCTCCGTCAACTCAAGCCACAGCCACTGAGCCTGGGCGCTTTCACTGGTCACGAGGGTTCGGGAAAGGATGGTGCCCCCATAAACCCGCATGTATCAGCTCCAGGCTCTCCTGGCTCATGGCCACCACGGGGACACACTTGCCTCCATCTCTCACCTTCTCGTGTGAGCAGAGAGAACAGAAGACAGCTGCTCTTGCAAGCAGGATCAGGGAATCTACGTGTGCAGATACCAGAGTGATTCTAGAAGCTTCTCCCTCCGTCCTTCCAGCCTCACTGGTGGGCTGGGCAGGCTCCTGGACCAGCTGACCTGGGCTCCAGCGCCTTACACGATGCTCAGAAGACCAGAGAGGCCCCCAGAGCACCCACGGGGGCCACCCAGAGTCCACAGGCCACAGCCACTGATTGGCCATAAACGGAGGCTGCTCAGGCCAGGTGACGAGGGATCCATGCAGACACAGAAGGAGAGCAGTGGCACCCACAAAACCCACTGCCCAGGTGACCTCTGGGACCCTGGGGGCACCTGGTGTCTCCCCTAGAACCCAGATGCGGGGGGTCCTCAGTCCAGGAATACCCCTGCCCCGTCTCCGTGGCTGCTGTGGTGGGGACCATGCTGGCTTCCTTCAGGAGTACCCGAGAGCCCTGCATCAGCCAGGGCTGTGGGCGGAAGCAAGGACAGCCTGGCTGCCTAGCAAACCGTGGTTATCCCACATCCCGAATGGCACAAGCTGGAGAACTGTCATTCAAAGTTACGTGGCCAGGAAGAGGGACCAGGGCCTTGAATACCCAGTTTACAGGGAGCCAGAGGTAGCCTGGGAAAGTGGGCTCGAAAGCCAGGTCCACCGGATTCTCAGTCTAGCTTGTTCCTTACTGACTAAGGGTAGACCTTGGAAGGCAGGTGCCATCATGCTTTTTTTGATTTCTTTTTTTGATTGTTGTTTTGTTTTGTTTTGTTTTGAGACAGGGTCTTAAAATGTTTTTAGTGCAAGCTGGCCTTGAACTTATTATATAGCCCAGGCTAGCCTCGAATTGGTGGCAATCCTCCCACCTCAGCCTCCTAAGTGCTAGGATTACAGGCATGCAACACCATGCCCAGCAAATATTGTGTAATTTGAAATCCTCCCAACCCACTAGCTTCCACTGAGCTTTCAGACAGCCACTGAAGACTCTGAGGGACAAATGGGGAGATAAGAACCTAGGTCCAAGCTGGGAAACACTAGCATTAGTTTCTCCAATGTAGAAAAACTCTCACCTGGATGGTTACAAATTCTTCCTGGCTTCCCCAAGGCCCAGTCTCCACCCAAAGCCACCAGCCATAAGCCACAGACACAGGGAAGGGGCTTCCCTGTGGCAGAGGGTGTAGATGCTCTAGAGGTCCCCCAAGTCCCTCAGAAGACCCCAAATATTTATCCTGGTCGGTGGAATCCAAAGCTCCAGGCTTTTAGTTTGCACTGGTTAGCAACAGAATGAGGAAAATAAACATGGTACAGAATTTAAACTCAAAAGCACCATGTTTAAAGTACCCACGGCAGTGGCACACACCTGAATCCCAACATTTGGGAGGCTGAGGAAAGAGGATCCCTGCAACTCAAGGCCGGCCTGTGCTACCTAGTGAGTTCAAGGCCAGCCTGAACTGTATACATTTTGAGATTCTGACCCAAAAAAAAATAAAATAAAATAAAAAATAAAATACCACCAACCCAAAGGGAAGGAGGAAGGGAGAGAGACAGGGAAGGAATAAGAAAAAACTGTACTTTATTCTAAAATTTGTCCCTGTAGTCCCTGCTCAACCACAGCTTCAGCATCTACACATTCAACCAACTACAGATCAAAAACATCAGATCTGGAAAAAAAACTGCATCTACACTGAACACCCACAGACTCTGTTTTCTTGTCATTCCCTAAATACAGTAGACAAGTATTTACACAGGATTTACACGCATTGGGTGTTCTGAGTCACGTCCAGATGGATGCTGGAATCCAGTGGGGTACACAGTGTGGCTCTGTACCCCTCTGTCCCATCAGAACGGTCATCAAACAGCAGTGCTAAGTGCTGGGGATTTTTCTTGGTTCTTGTTTGTGACATCTACCATTAAGCGACACAGATCCTCGGTCTGTTGCTTTGTAACGCCTATTGTCAGCAAAATTCCGTTTTTTTTTTTGTTTTTTTTTTTTTTTTTTTGAGACAAGGTCTCACTCTATAATTCAGGCTGACCCTGAACTCATAGCGATCCTCCTGCCTCAGCCTCTCGAGTGCTGAGATGACAGCTGTGTGCCACTGAGCCCGGCTTAAAATTCTACATGGTAACGCTATCCACGCTCAGCCCTTCTCAGTGCGGTGGAGGAGGTGCAGCCCTGTGGTAGAACACTGTGACCACCAGGCTCCCAACCCCCATGAGGTGCACAATGAGCCCCTCTCCGTTCTGCACAGGGCCCTGTGAGAGGCACTCTAGGACTGTCGCCAGAGGTCAGTGGTGCAAGGTCAGGGCTGGGGGACCTGGAGGGTCGCAGACATCAGCACCAGCCCACTTCTGGTGCAGAGATACAACAACCAAGGCGCCAACACAGGAACAGAACCCCCCACTGGAACAGAACGTCACAGAGAGCCAGCAGCAGCCTGGTCCCACCAGCACCTGCAAGGCTGGACCTCGAGTCGGAGGCTGAGCCCACACCACACCCACGAGCGTCCACACACACTGCTATCAAGTCCCTTCCGCCTGAAGCACAGGTCCCCAGCAGGCCCAAGGGATGACCCGGTAACACGGCAACAAAGTCACCCCAACTAAACCCTCTACTTGCAAATCCCAAATCTCCCTAAGGTCAGTATGTCCTCTGCTCAGCTTTCTAGAAGAGTCCATGACCACATCCACACCTACTATGGATGCAACGTGTCACATCCAGACCCAAAGCCAGCAGCGTTCAGAAGACTGAGTTCGGCAGCTTCTCCATCCAAAGGACCCTGGTGGCCTCAAAATCTCAAAGGTGGCCAGCCCAAGCTTCCAGTCAGGGGCAGGTTCTTGAAACTGCTTCCACACACCTGTATCTAGCCGCGACTTGTGTACCTCCAGGGATGGGCAGCTCACTCCAATGCCACATAGATCTGCCACTTCCTCCAGGAGACAGCCTTCTACCTAGCACACTACCCAGCCGCCACACAGCCCCTCACCGGGACTTTCTTCAAATGCATCCCACCCTATGTGGTTTCCAGACCCTCCTCTCTTGGGGTCAGCTGGCCCTCCAAAGTATGAAACAAGTAAGGGGCATTCAACTCCCACATGTGGCTGGACCCTTCATGCTCTGAGAGCAGGACTGTCACCACCCTTATCCTAGGACCTGTGTTCCCATTAACACAGCCTCGGACCAACCTTCTTGACTCACAAGTCACTGGCCACACCCACAAACAGCTCCGCCTATGACCCTGGAAGTCTTACTCCAAATTTACAGACAAGAGCACATGCCAATAATCCCAGCATTCAGGAGGCTGAGGCAGGACTGATTCCAGTTCAAAGGCAGTGTAAAGAGCCACAGTGAGTGCCACCTTGTTCAAAAAACCAAAACCTAAAAAAAATAGCCACAACTGTAGCACAGAGAGGTAAAGTCACAGCTCATAAACAACAAAGCCAAAATTCCAATGGACATTGCTCACTGCTCTGTTTGAGTCCTTGGGGTGCATATACACATCCTACCCACTGTGCCCAAAGAACCCCATCGACATCTCACATAGAAATCTAGGAGGATGTCTGGGGGGAGGAAATCCTGGGGAAGACCCTGAAACTCCCCAGGGGAGGGTCCAAGGCTCTGTCCAGGACAGGAATGGAGATGCATTCCTCCCCCATCCCCCACTGCCTGAGGCCACTCCCCAGGGGCTCTGCCAAAGGCCAGCCCAACCTCCCATGCCTGAAGGAACCCCAAACTTGACCTGAAAGCCATGCCCCAGCCACACTGCCAGCAGGACACTGCCCCCAGGACACTGCCCCAAGCAAGGGGCAGCCAGGGGCTGATCAGAACCCAGGTCAGCCAGGTGGAACCTACCGGAAGGGATGAAGAACGTGTAGCCCTGTTTCAGCTCAATTCTTTGGCATCGCTCCACGCGATCCCCCAGGAAGATGTCACTCTGCTTGCCCGACAGCACCCACTCCTCGTACAATGCCAAGTTGTGCAGGGTGGGCGGGATCAGCCAGAAGATCTGAGGAGGAAGAGAAGGCGCTCGGTCAGGCCCGACACAGACAGCCCGCCTGCCTGGGCAGGAGACTCCATCGCCTGGGACCCCACGCCCGGCCAAAGGGAATCTCCGCTCCAGCTGGATACAGGGGAGGCAGTCTTCCTGCACCCTGGAACATTCTTTTGCTAGAGCCAGAGGCTTGTCTGGGACATGGGGAAAGCAGAGGTACAGACCTTCCGGAAGTCCAATGAAAAATGGCCCCATAAATAAACCCAGCTTGCACTCTAGAAAAGGAGGGAAAACATCTGGAATCAAGTGGGGTGACTTCCCCTCACAGCCTCCACCAACACATTCGGCTCCAACAAGCAAAGGCATGTGCAACCCCGGCAGGCAGGGTGGCTGGCATAGGGGCACTTTCTAGAAGAACCCATGTCCGTGCTGGGACACCTACAGCCCCCACAGGGACACGCTCCCCAAAACACACTTCAGAAACACCCTGAACACACAGGCCGCCTCCCTTCCAGAGGAGGCACCAGAACTCCACCCTCATGCTCTTGGAGGTTGGTGGCACTGGCAACTGGATTTGGAAGTTAAAGGTGCCAGGGCCAGCCCTGGGAGGACAGCCAATGGCGAAGCACTGAGACGAGCTGAGCTTCCAGGTGGTCTAAGGTACTCAGACCCTGGACTGGACAAGGGAGCAGCACTCAGATGCAAAATAGCTGACCCTGACCTTTGCCCCCAGAAGGAGGCAGGCGGGCAGGAGGGGGTCCCAGGGAATGGAGGGGCCTGAAGGAGTAGGGGTGGCTGGAGAGGGAGGCAGAGGAAGGAGGGTCCTCCGCCAAGCCCAGAGCGATGGAAGTTGGCAGATTTGACTGGAACTCACCTTCCCGCCCCGGAACACATGGTACCACACGGAGGTACCTCCAAAGTCGATGTGGAAGTCAGTGAAGCAGCCCTTCACGCTCATCAGACAGTACCTGTGGCAGGGTGAGGGGCAGCAGCAGGTCAGGAAGGCCCAGCGGGGGGCCCGAGCAAACCTTTGGTGTCTGCTGAGCCAGGGCCCTTTTATAAACCGTGAGGCCTGGAGATTTTCTTTTTCTCAAAACCCAAATCGAATAGGAGTTCCCCTCCCAGGGGATGCCCCCAGGGATCAGGTGACAATCTCAAGAAGATGGGCCGTTTTTGTTTTAGGGTTCCCAAGAGAGAAGCAACTGACAGGCCACTGGGTTCCTTTCTACCCCCACCTGGCCCCCCAATCCCCAACCGGAGGCTCTCTCTTTGCTACTTCACAGCTCTGGTACCTGCAGCTCTCGCAGGCTGCCAGGCCCTTCTGGAGCAGCTGGGCCCCCTGGAATTCAGCTGTAAACCACCTGCACAGCTGACCAATTCCAGTCCCCATTTGGCTCGATTATTCAGCCAGAGGTCCAGAGCTGGGCACAGCCCGCCAAGACAAACCTGTGAGCAGTGTAAGACCTCTGCCCTGGCAGAGGAGACCCTCGGTAAAGTTCAGGGACAACTGATCACTGAGCCAGCAGCGGGGCCAAAGGGGTCCAGCCCCCAAGACCACACAGCATGAAGACTCCACCTGCAGGAGACGTCCAAACCCCACCAAGGCACCAGCAGACAGCCGAGAGGGGCTGCGGGGGTGGGGGGATGGGCCTAACGATAAGGAGCACCGGGTTTCATTCCGGGGCAACAGAGATGTCCTGAAATTGACTGCGGTTGCACCACTCTGGGTGTGCTGAGAAAACCACTGGATTGCACGCTTTCCACAGGTGAACGATATGGGAATTAGACCTCAATACAGCTGCCAAAAGTGAAGGGATTAGGCGAAGAGCAGGCAGCACTGCCAGGCAGGGCGGGGGACAGGCAGGGAGGAGGGCGTGATCCGGAGGAAGGACCCCAGCAGCTCCCCTCCCTCCTGAGGGCCGTCGAGAGCTAGTGCACCCCCCACGGGAACCCCGAGCTTCCCCGCACCCTCTCCGCTGCTGCCCTCTTCAAAGTGGGTAGAGCTTGAGGAGGGGGCACGGAGCAGGCTTCCAAGCCCAGGCCTGGCAGACAGCGGTCCCAGGGCCCCCCACCGGGCACTCACCCCTGCCCATGAGAGCCTCCCGGGCGGCACAGATGGGGCGGCCTCCCCGCAGCTTGTGCCCATGCACCCTGGCACCTCCGAGGCCCGCACGCTCACGCTTACCCACTGACCTCTTTTCCCCCGCTGCACTTTGCCTTTCTGTGGTTTGGGGAAGAGGGGAGGAACGGGGCGGGGACGGGCAGGGAGGAGCCAGCAGGAGTGCAGAGAATGGGGGGCAGAGCCGGGCGCAAGGCTGGGGGAAGGATGGTGAGGAGGGCTGGGCCCCCCTCCCTCGTGCTGCCTTGTGCACCTTGCGTGCAGGTGGACCCGGGGCTTGGCAGTATGCAGGCAGCGTGCCCCAGTCCCTCCTCCGGATAGGCTGGGAGAAGCCTTAGCCATGTGTCTGCGGGAAGCTGACAAATCAGAAGGCCTGCCCGTACCTCAGAGCCCCGCTGCCTAGCAACCCCATCGGAGGGGTGTAGTTGACAGCCCAGGACGCAGGCTGTCACGAAGCTGGCACTGGGGCTGCTCGAGTCCTGACTCCGGCTCTGTGCCCTCCCCGCTGCCCGCCCTGGGCCCACCGGGTTGGGTCCCAGGACTAGATCGCCTCCTCCCAGGAACTGGAGGGGGGGCGTCCTGATGTCCGCACCCACCCCACCCCCCACGGACCACACCGGCCTCTTCTCTCTCAGCACCACTTCAAAATATTAGTCCCGTTTTCCTAAAACCACCTCTCGGTCTTGATTTGGTTTTTTTTCTTTCTTTCTTTTTTTAATCTAACCTTGGTTTCCACCCCCTCCAGGCCTCTGCTGAATGCGGTGTAGGGTAAACAATTTCAGTGTGTGTAGGGTGGAGCCAGAAGTGCTTCCTTCAGCCCGCAGCTGGAAGCCTGCTGGGAGCCCACGGCCCACAGGGCTGGAGGGGAGCTTAGCTACTGCCTGGCCGAACTGGTCACTGTCACAGCCCCCTTACCCTATCTCTCTCCCACCCGTAGAAAACGGGACCCCTGGCCGCTGTGCGCTGGGAAAGTTATCCAAGTTGACCTGTGTCTGATGCGCCCTCGGGTCAACCCGCATCATCCACAGAGGCACGCAGGGGCTGGGGACGCCACTCCCAGAGGTGCCTCTCCCGAAGTGGGCCCTCTTCCTGATGCCCCTCATTTCCCGGCCACCAGGCCTGGACTGCCCCTCCCACCCAGCGATGGATTGCAGGCTTTTGGGCAGCTTTGTCCCGGTTCCCGCAGCCAGCAGGCCACCCCTGGCTCCCGCCCCGCGGTGTCTGGGGCTCTCCCTTCGCTCCTGCCCGCTCTGGCGTGACGCCTTTGCACTGACCTCTACAGCTTCCTCTTCCCAAGCACACCGCAGTCACATGGGCACCCCGGCTCCATGCCACGGCCGCTAAGCTCTCCCCGCCAACCGCCCGCCGCCCGCCAGCCGGGCTTCCGCAGCAGCCTCGCAGGGAGGCCCCTGCCCGGACACCCGCGCCATGGACACCCCTCAGCCCAGGTGGCGTCTGCGCAGGAAGACACCTCCAGCTGGCGGCTAGAGATCCAGGGCGGCCAGCTGAGCCTTAGAGGGGTTCCCGCCCTCCAAGGCCGGGCAGGCTGGGAGGAGCGAGATAGGAGGGGGCGCTGCACCTGCGGCACCAACTTTGGGGTGCAGCCTGGGGGCGGCGGAGGCGGGGCAGCTCCACCCCTCCATTTCTCTCCAACTTGGATAAACTACCCCGGGGTGGCCCAGCCCGTGTCCCCTCGGGCAAAGGTCCTGCAGGGAGGCCCCTGGAAAGCTGACACCCCGCGGTGGCAGCGGCTGGGGCCGGATGCTCGAACGCGCGCACCCTCCACTCTGCCACCGGCCCCGGGGACACAAAGAGCTGCTTGGCGGCGACGCGGGCCGGCAGCGCACCCGCACCCCGCCCGCGCGCCACGAAGAGCCCGCGGTTACCCACGGCAGCGGCGGCACTCCCGGGCGTCCCCTTCGGCGGTGGCGGCGGAGGCTCGACGCGCACCCGGGCCGGGCCGCGGACGCGGGGCCCTCGTTCGCCGCCTTCCCCGCGCAGAGCCGGGCGCAGCCTGCGCTCATCCCCGCGCTGAAACTGAACACCGGCGCGGGCCGCGGGGAGGCGGAGGGAGGCCGCGGCGGCCACCGCGAGCGAGGCGCGCGGAGCCCGCGCCAGGGGACGCAGCCGCCGCCCACGGCCGCCCCTCGCCCCCGATGGGTGGCGGCTCGAGGGGGGCCCTCCCCACCCCGCCCTCCAGGCCTCCGCGCGGGACCGCGGCGCACGGGTTTTCCCCGAAACGCGCCCCCTCCGGCTTGCACCGGTGCGGGACGGTCCTCCGCTCGGTGTCTGGGGGAGCACCAGGTCCAGGTGTGGCAGCCACGCGAAGCAGGATGGGGCTCCGGCCCCAGTCTAGCTGCTCCACCTCGGGTAACTGACTTCCTCTCTCTGAGCCATTTCCTGGGACTCCTAACACCGAGGCGGGGACCTCTGCGTCCCCAAGGGCCCTGGATGCCCCTGCGCACCCACCCCCGCAGGAGCCGTGAAGCCCGGGTCCAAGGATTGTGGGAACTCACTGAGCTAAAGACACGTGCATTACTGAAGCCAAACTCGACGCTCGGCCTCTCGGGTAATTTCTGGGGCTGTCCCCATGTATCAGATGAGGACGCTGAGGCTCAGAAGTACAGGGCCCCACTCAGCTCCCCTAGCCCATGGCGGTGCTTCCTGTTCCCGCCTGAGTGTCTTGGCCCTGGTCTACCTGGCAAGTCCCAAGTTCCATGAAGAGCGTAGCAGTCACAGATGGGCCTCAACCACTGACTGCCAGCAGAAGGAGGCATCAGCTCAGATCAGAGTGTCGCACCCCTCCAGGTCACCAGGCCCCTGCCCTCCTCCCCACACCCCTCCCCAAACCACAAGGGGGCAGGAGAGGCCTGCAGCTTCTGCAGGGGTAGCAGTGACCACCCTTTGGCCCAAAACACTTTTTACTGGGGCCACCCAGCCATTTTAATTAATAGGTTCTAATTATTCAAGTGTTGATTATTGCGGCTGTTTCCACGCGGGAGCTCATTCCAGCCTTTACACAGTGTCACCGACCCCAGTGTAGGACGCAAAGCCCTGGTCTGAAGCCTGGTCAATGGCCCAGGCCCAGTGCAGCTTCCCCTCTCATTTACAGCAAAGCCCACTGGTTAGCACCTTCCAGGGGTCTGCCAAGAGGCCAGACTGCAGCCTCTGCAACTGGCTGGGGTTTTGGGCAGGTACCTGTTTTGCTTATTTAGAAGACTATTATTTACAGGCCGCACCTAACCTGAACTCTGTTAGCTTTGAGCACCTGTCATTAGAATTCTTTAAGTATGATTTTTGCTGTCACCCCACCCATCTTTTTCTTCTATTCCGAGAAAGATGGGGAGGAAAAGCGAGAACCCCGAAGGCCTGAGGTCTGGTCAATGCTCTCCTCTCTGTGGCAGCCTCCCAGGCCAATGCTCCTGTGTGACGTGAGACAGGGCCTTCACTGCTGACGCCAGTGAACAAGGGGATAAGGGGAGGCTCGGGACTACAAGGTGAGTGTGATGGTAGAGAAGAAACCTACGTGACACAAGTGGAGACATGCACCTGTAATACCAGCACTCAGGAAGCTGAGGCAGGAGAATCACCTTGAGTTCAAAGTCAGCCCGGGCTACACAGTGAGTTCAACTAGCCTGAATGACATAAGGGGACCCTGTCTCAACCCTCCCTACCCCCCCAAAATTATGCAAATAATAAAGAGGAGGACAGGAGAAAAAGCAAAGGAGGCCAAATTTCAACATGGGCAGCCTCTGGTCCCACCTGGCAACCCTGCTCCTCATTTCACATCCGCTGTGTGTTCTGCTGTCCCCCCCACAAGCCAGGAAGGCAGGATGAGGCGACAGAACCCCCACCGTGTAGAAGGCAATGCTGAGTCTCTGGAAGGAGGCAAAATTTTTGTTGGAGCCAGAAGAAAATAGCCAGGCAGCCCCTGAGACTTACTGCCCATTTTTATTCATTTATATCTCTATTTTGTTTTCTTTTCTTTTGGGACAGGTTCTTGCTATATCAGTCAGGCTGGCCTTGAACCTGTGACCTCAAACTTGTAGCGATCCTCCTGCCTCAGTCTCCCAAGTATGGAGATTATTGGCATGCACCACCATGGCCAGCTTCCAATGCCCATTTTTATCCTCCATGTTTCAGCTACTCATTTTAATATTTTCCTTTAGGCTTCCTGCCATGCCTGTAAAGCAGTTAAAAAAGCACGTGGAGAAAAGTGTATTTAACTTCGAATTATTTGGGGCCCAAACATGTGCTTTATGCGGGGTCCCCCTTTTTGCTGGGTTGTCAGCTCTGCTGTTGCCTGTCAGCCCTCAGCACATCTCTTCACACCAGCACACCTCATTTCTGCACACCCTGGGAGAAACAGGGGGGAGGAGATGCACTAAGCCCTTTCTGGAATGCATTACAATGCTCAGTCCTCCTTAGTGGAAAAGACAACACACCCACTTCACAGACCTAAGGGATCCTGGAGGCTTTAAAACATGTCCAAAAATTCCTTGATGCTTCTTCCTGCAAGCAGCAGAGCTGGGCTAGGGACATAGCTCAGTGGTAGAGCACTTGTCCAGCATGCCCAAGGCCCTAGGTTCCACCCCCAGTACTGCAAAACAAAAGAGGGGTCCAGCTAACTTCCAACCTGGAGTATGCACTGGATTAATCGATAGTAGGCAGCAGAATCCCAGCACTCAGGGAGGCTGAGGCAGGAAGGTTGCTGTGAGTTTGAGGCCAACTTAGGCTACAAAGTGAGTTCAGGGCCAGCCTGAACTTCGTAGAAAAACCCTGTCTGAAAAAACCAGACCAAACAAACAGGGTGTGCCTTCAAAATCAGGTCATAAAAGGTGCTGTGTTTTCTTCCTTAGTCTCTCTCAAACCACCCCCTCTGAGTCAGCTGCCAGGTCATGAGGACCCATACACAGTCCTGTGGAGAAGCCCAAGTGGCAAGAACTGAGGCCTGGGGCTGGGGATTTAGCTCAGCAGCATAAGCGCCTGCCTTGCAAGCAGGCAGTCGTGAGTTCGATCCCTGGTACTGATAAAAAAAAAAAAAAAAAAAAAGAACTGAGGCCTCCTGCCAGCGGCCACTCGAGGTGCCATCTTGGAAGTGGACCCTCCAGCCCTGCTTGGCCCAGCCTCCAGCTGAATCCAGCCCAGGCCTAAGGTCTCACACAAACTCCTGAGAGACCAGAGCCAGAACCACCAAGCTAAACCACATGCAGATCCCTGACCTACAGAAACCGTGACACAATCTTTGCTGCTTTAACCTGCTAAAATTTTGCCACATGGTAGGGCATGCCTATAATCCCAGCACTCAGGAAGCCGAGGCAGGAGGATCACTGGGATGCCAAGGTCAGCCTGGGCTACACGTAGCTCAAGGCCAGCCTGGACTATGTAGCAAGATTCTCCCGGCCCCCAGATGTAAAGATGTTTATAAGGCTATGAGGCTTTGAGGTCATGGTTATGCAAGAATAAAAAACCAAATGCAGGAGGCTGATGTGTGGTGCACCCCTGTAATCCCAGCACATGGGAGGCTGAGACAGGAGGATCATTGTGATTTAGAGGCCAGCCAGGGTTACATAGTGAGACCCTGTTTCAAACCACCCTCCCTCCCCCATCCAAAAAAAAAAAAAAATCCCAAACAACAACAACAAAAACAAATGCAGGGATACTCCTGAATAATCACCATTGTTGAGGCAGGTATAGGAAATTTCCCGACAGAAAATTCTTTGCATTTCCGCAGATCAGCGATGCAGGTGGAAGGGGAACAGCGGAAAGGCGCGGTGACTTTGGTTTCGGTCCACCCACGCCTGTCAGCCCTTTCCTTCACCCTGCTTTCGGTTTCTTAGCACCTAATAATAGTGCGTCCTTGTGGCCTCACCTGTTTCTCTCCCTGCAGGTCACTCAGAAGCGTCTACCCTTTACCATGCTCTTTGGAAACCCTTTGTCTCCTGTGAAGTTGTTAAGACCCACTTCCCCCATCCCCTTCTCTAGCCTTAAGAATCTCAGCTGAAACCCATTAAAATTCCTAACCCTCTGACCACAACGGAATCCCAGAGCCGGAGAAGCCCTGCGAGGGCCACACCATCCTCGGATTCGGATTCGGGAGCCCTCGCTGCCCGCTGGCTTGGGGTGAGTGCTGCTGTGATTTCCAGAAACAATGTCATCTTAATTAAATGCCACAGAACGACCCGAAGCCCCGAGGACTCTGTCATGGTGGGATTTGTTACCTGGCTTATAAATATTTGAAAGCAGCATTCTTTTCAGCTGAACAAATGGACTATTTCTGAGGTAACGGTTTCCACCCAACGCCATAGCAAGAGCCTGCAGCCAGGGCTGGAGTTCGTAAATCTATTTGCCACACGATGCTATGCGATGTGACACAACCCGTGCGTGCGCTCTATTTTGTGGTAATTAAAGGAGACCCTAAATAGATCTTTCAGTACTGAGCGAGGATCTTTCCAATTTAAGGGAAGTCTTTCAGTAACAGGCAGAAGCCACTGAGTATCTCCGGAAGGCAAGGCAGACCACAACTGGTATCTCCATCCCCCCAGTGGTTTCCCCCAAACAGCCTCCTCTCTGCCTCTCCTTGGCTGCTGGCCCCACCTCCTGTAATCCCCCACAGTGACAGGAGGGTTTGCCCAGCAAACCTGAACATATCCTGCACCGTGAGATCTCAGAAAGGCTTTGGCTGTCCTCAGGGGCAGCCGGACTGTTGGTTCCCGCTCCTCCCCTTTACCATCTGTAAGGGGCCATGAGCCTTTGCGACCCCAGCAGAGGAGGCATCCCTGACCTCCCTGAGCAGGCCAGGCCCTCTTCCTATCACAACTGGGTGACTCTGTCTCCCCAAAGACAGCACAACCTGTAGGGGCAGGGACCTCCCGTATCTCCAGTCAGATGCTCAGAACACAGCTGCAAAAGAAAGGAAGGAAGGAAGGAAGGAAGGAAGGAAGGAAGGAAGGAAGGAAGGAAGGGGTCCAGGAGACACGGCTTCCCCCACACCATCCCTTCCAGCTCCACCCTGGAGAACTTTCTTTCTTCCTGTTCCTCCCACAGCCTCTTATTTCTTGTCATCTAAAGGCCAAGTTAAACGTCCCTCCTGGTGACATCAGCCCAGGATTCTCCTGACCCATCCTCTGCTCCATGAGTCTGTCTCTACCTCTGTCCAGAGCAGAACCCTTCCAGCGGGCGGGGTCCCTAGGCTTGTTCAGCCGCTCCCGTCCCAGGGCCTCTGACAATTTTGCCATGATCAAATCAGACGGAAGCAAATCCCACTCCCTGCCCTCCCCACCCAGAGCCGGCTCTCTCTCTGCCTTTGATGCAGCCCAGATCCAAGGGCTGTGTGGAGTCACTTTGGGGAGAAGGAAAATGTCTGTGAAGTAATTAAAGCAAAACCCTGAAAGCCCAGAGCCAGCTCCTTACAAAGCCTGGCACACAACCCACACTCCATTGGCCCTGAATGGAGGCCGAGGAGATGGAGAGGCCACAGCCCGGAAGCTCCAGGGCCGCTACTGGCAGCTGGACAGCAGAGCTACTAACCAACCCCTCCACCACCAGCAGCTCCTTTGGGAAACCCAGAGCAACTGCCCTGCCTGGGACACCTCTTTTACAAAACCTAAATGGTGATATACAACCATTATCCCAGCACTCAGGAGGCTGAGGCAGGAGGACTGCCACAAGAGTTCAAGGCCACCCTTGTCCAGCCTAAACTACACAGCCAGACCCTGTCTCCAAACAAACAACGGGAGTCCCAAAGGTGACTTCCTGCCAAAGGATCCAGACAGTCCTGTACCCAAGACTGCCCACGGTGAACCCTTGCTCTCGAGTCAGGATGCTCACGCTGCATGCAGTGATGTGTTGACTACTGACCACAGTCACTCTCCTGGTCCTGAGTGGACTATCTCAGACACGTCCGGGACACTGAAGGAGAGGTCCTTCTGAGTCAGAGGTCCCAGCACCCAGGGAAAGAGACACCGAAGCCATCCCAGCAATGCCCATTCCCGGACACACTGTCACATGGGCAGAACAGACCTAGTGCACAGGTGCACACATATGCACGCACACACTCACAGATCATGAGCCCCAAGGGAGCTGTGGGGATGCCCCAGGGCCAGTTGCAGACCCGAGCCCTGCGTTCCAGGGAACAAGATGCCGAGAGGCCTGGATCAAGGCCCTGCCCTCAGTGCCCGCTGTCCCTGCCCAGACCCAGGCCTGCAGCTGGCTGCAAAGCACAACTCGAGCCCGAGCGCACGGTGGTCAGGACGGCACCCCACCCACCCCACTCCACCTGCCAGCCGGGCAAGCCTTACTTCTTCACTTTGGGGTACTTCATCTCTGCGATGGCATTGGTGGCCTCTGTCTGCTTCTCCTTCAGGTGCTGGGGCCACATGTTGTCCACCCAGTCCACCAGGTCCACCTGAAAGTCAGGCAGCGCTCAAAGCCAGGGTACAGCTAGATGTCCCCTCCGCCCCGGCAAGTCCCCAGGTGCCCTTGAGCTGGACCCCTGCACTCCCTGCACCCCTTCCTCCCGCCTCAGCCCACACAGGAGCCCCAGGATCCTGCCCCCCCCCACCCCCAGGAGACCACAGCTCAGGTCAGCCAGCCGCCTAGCTCAAGGGACAGTCCAGCCAGAGCCGGGCCAGACAGGGAGACAGGCGGGCGGCAGGTGCCGGGCAGGGGCTGACTTCGGCCTACCACGGTGGGACGCTTGACCAGGTGCTCCAGCTTGGTGTGGCTGAACTCCAGGCTGATCACATTGTACAGCTTGTCCCGCTGCGCCTCGGGTGTCTCATAGTAGCGCACAAACTGGGACATGCTCATCTCCGTGCCCTTCTGGGTGTTCACGTCCATCACGTCCACCAGCCGCCGGCTCCCTGGGGCAGAATCCAAAGAAGATGCTCGCTCCGGCCAGCTTGGGGTTGCGGGCTCCACCAGGGTCCCCCACAAAGCGACGCCCATGCCCTCCACGGATTCCACGGTACCCCTGCACATCTGCCCACTGCCCTCCCTCGCCCTGTTGGTTTTCCTGGCCCTGATTTCCCTCTGTCCCATCTGTCCCCATCCACCTCTGGGGCAGTCAACCATCACCATTCTAGGAGGTGTCCTTGGTGGCTTCCTAAGGGGACTCTGGGCTCCCCAGCCACACTTGCTTGTCACACTGCCTGGGTAAGCTTTCTAAATGGCCCTGCCCACCACTCCCCCCTCTCCACACTGTATCCTTCTCCCCATGGCCCACTAAAAACTCCCCCAGCGTGGCTGGGGCCTTTCTGAGCAGTCACAGCACTAGGACAGGACGGGGCTCAGGGCTACAGAAAAACCGGCTGCTTAGAAGCCTCCTCCCTGGTCTGCGAAGCTGGCGAGGCTACTCGGCTTCCCTGAACCTCTCTGTGTCTTCACCCTGCTCCTCTGATCAGGCAGCCGGGAGGAGTAAACCACAGTACCATGGCGGGAATCCCTCACCCCAGCGCCCTCGCCATCCCTACAGACCACGCCTCCCTGTCTGTGCTTGGCTGCAAGCACGGGGAGGGCAGCCTGCTGTCGGGCAGGCCCACTCCATCTGAGCCCCTGGAACACAGCCCGGCAGGCACAGGGGCCGGCAGAGGCTTATGGGACGGATGCTCCAGAAGTGAACTCTGACGTCCCATCCCACACAGAGCAAATCACTTCAACGATGAAGGACGGCCGAACAGAAGACAGTGTGTCCCCGCTCGGCAAAGGCAACCTCTCTTCCACACCAGGGGGGAGGACTCTGCACCAGCTCGGTCCAGCATGGTGGCACACAGCTGTAATGGCAGCACTCAGGAGGCTGAGGCAGGAAGACTGCTGCACCACCTACCGAGGCCCTGCTCAAAACAAACAAAGCTACCACCTAGAACTGAGCCTCTCACCACGTCCCTGAGAGCAGGTGACTGGAACCTTCAGGGCCACCTAACCCTAACCACCCCCAAGGAACCCTCGATGCTCCTGGGGCTCTGCTGGCTCATCTGTGAAATGGGAACGCCAGCGTCTCGGCCAAGGGGAAGGACCAGCACGCAAGAAGAAACACTTTGAGCAGGAAAAAACGACACATGAAGCCAACTGCCAAGCTGGGGGTGACGCATGGAAGAGCTGGCACCTTCTGGTGTTACACTCAAACCGAGCACGGCGACCGCCATGGGAAATGCCATCTGGTCTGGAAAGACCCCAGCTCTCCGTTAGCTCGGTGCAAACCCATGGTGCCTGGAGACTCAGAAGCACCAAATAAACAGCAATGACAAAAAAGCAGGGGGACCCTTATTCACAGTGACCCCGAGAGGTCATGGGGGCAGAAACTGGGGTCAGCCAGCGCCAGTCCCAGGGCCAACCCGGCCCGGTGTATAAGTGCAAAGGTGGAAATCCAAAGGGAAAACCACACGCAGTCCCAGTGCGCAGGAAAGGCCAGGTTCCCTGGTTTCCAAGCAGGGACTCGGTGCAAAGCCTGAAATGTTTACCCCCGGCGCTTTACAGAGAAAGTCTTCAAGTCTTTGGGGACACACAGCTCTTATTAACCCTCGCAGCTCACATGGACGGGGAGAGGCAGGGTGGCTCCCGCTGCAGCCGCTCTGGGTAAAGAGCCCGCTTTATGACGGGCCAGAGTCAATATTTGTTGAATAAATAAACACAGTGCCTTTTACATGGCAGCACTGAATAAGGAAAGTAATAAAGTCACCCCTGAAGTGTGTAAGACAACATGGGGTTCCCGTCTTTTGGCTTCAAGTGGGTTTTTTTTCATTTCATTGTTTTGGGGGTACTGGGGACTGAACCCCAAGGCCTTTGTGCTGAGCTACAGTCCCCTCCCCTTTCATGACTGAAACCACAATCCCTAGGGATCAAATGAAAGAAATGAGTAATTTAAAAACATGGTGAGAGTCGCTGGGCATGGTGGCACACGCCTGTAATCGCAGCACTTAGGAGGCCGAGGCAGGAGGATCCCCACCAATAGGAAGAAGATCTAGTGAAGAACACCTAAGAATTTCAGAGCAATTACTCAACCGTTTATAAACTACAAAATCCAAAAAGGGGGAGATCCTGCCAAAAATTATCTGTGCCTTGTAATAAACATTATTTATAATGGAAAAGCCAAAATTGTTTTGTCACCTACAAAGGAAAAGAAAAAATGTTAGGATCTTTCTGGCAGAAAATACAGAAGCCTTCACACTTGTACATGCCATCTTGGCGCCACGGGGAACACAGCCGTCTCCACGGCCCTCCTGCTGCGGTCTATGTGCTGCTGCAGCCCGCACCGCGGCCCCTTTCTTCTTCTTTATTTTGAGATAGGGTCTCATTGCTCTAGGAGGGAGAACTCTGCACATAGTATAAAGAGAAACTGGTGCTTGGACCCCAGTGAGGCGCAGAGCTGGGATTTGGGTTTTGTTTGCTTTCTTTTCTTTTTTGAGACAGGGTCTCCCTGTGTATATAGCCCAGGCTGGCTTGGAACTCATGGTGATCCTCCCGCCTCAGTCTGGAGCTGGGATTTGAAGTCAAGTCAATCAAATCCCAGAACTGGCGCTTATCTGCCCCTGCAACACTGCAGGTGCAGACCCTGTGCTAGGTGGGGCTCCTCTAAAGGGCCCCAGTTTGAGTGGCCGCTCCCTGCCCTGCCCTGAGTCCTGGGAAGGGGGCAGCAGACGGGGTTTGCGCAGGGAGGTGCAGCTCCACCAGGGGGCATCTGAAGCCTTGCCCGAAACCCCTGGCCTGCTCTGGGCAACGCGGGACCACCTTACCGGGTCAGGAATAAGTGGACTTTCCTGGGGGCTCGGAGAGGCCAGTCTGGCCCAGAGCCCTCCGTGACAGCTGCGCACCCCTCCACACCCGGGCCAGCCTTGCAAAGGCCCACTGGCCTGCCCAGCCATGCTCAAGGTCAAGGCCACGAGGGTTTGCTGGGGCAGGAGATGGAACAGAGCACAGCTTCAAAATCTAAGCTCCCTGGGTCCTGCAAGCCAGCAGCGCACTCCGAGCTCAGCGGTCCCTGCAAGCACCACTCAGAGGTTACGCTAAGACTGTGGGTTCGAATCCCAGCTGCACTTCTGGCCTGTTAGCGCTCCTGTAAAATGCAGGGGCAAAAGTCTGCACACATGCTATGCTGACATCTTTTTTTTCCCTCTCTTTGAAATATAATGAATGTGGGAAAAAAAAAAAAAAAAAAAAGCTTTTTTTTTTTTTTTTTGAGACAGAATCTCCCTATGTAATCCAGGCTAGCCTTGAACTCAGTACAGAGCCCAGGCTGACCTCAAATTTATGGTGATCTTCCTGCCTCGGCCTTCTGAGTGCTGGGGCTAGGGGTGTTACCCACCATGCCCAGCCCAGCTCCTTTTTATTTTTTTATTTTGTGACAGAGTCTCACTAAATTGCTAAATTATCCTGACTGGGCTCAAATATTTGATCCTTCCAACCCTTTTAAAAAATTTCACTTTGAGACACTGTCTCCAAATCGTCCAGGGCAGCCTCAGATTTGTAATCCTTCATGGGTATGGAGGCACACACCTGGAAGGCCAGCCTGGGCTACATAATGAGTTCGAAACCAGCTGTTCCACAAAGCAATACCCTGTCTTAAAAAAAAGGAGCAAGAGAACACACTTCAAAGGATGAAAATAAATTTTAAAGCAGTCCATTCAAACAGCCGTTGGTGGGGGCAGTGAGGCGCTGGCAGAGGCACCAAACGCAGCACTGCCCTCTTGCTCCGGAGGAGCTAAGGGTTGGTACACAAAGCACTTTCCCCATGCTTGTAAATCCGAAATTAGAAGACTGCATGGACTTTCACTTTCAGAACGGTTCTGACTCATCAACCTGATTCTCAAAACTGCAGACATAGATACAAACCAGGTTAGTGGTGTTATAAACCGAGCACTTGAGAGGCTGAGGCAGGAGGATTTGCCAGCCTGTTCAAGACCAGCCTGTACTACACTGTGACACTCTCTGTCTCAGAAACAAAAAACAAAAAACAAAAAAAAAAAAAAAAGGAAAGCAAGCAAGCAAATAAATCAAGAAACCAATGCACAATAAATGATATTTTAGGCCAGGCGTGGTGGCACATGCCTATAATTCCAGCACTTGGGAAGCTGAGGCAGGAGGATCGATGTTAGTTCAACGCTAGCCTGAGCTATAAAGTGAGTTCTAGGCCAACCTGAACTGCATAGTGAAAGCCTGTCTCAGAAAGACAAAAAACAAGAGAGAGAGAGACACACACACATTTGGCTACCCCACAATGGTAGATCATTCATTTCACTGATATTCTATAAAGCTGGGATTATGATGTCAATTTAAATAGAACCCTAATCAAAGAAGACTACAATAAAGATTTGAAAAACCACAGCCCAAATCCCAAAACCCAGTCTTGGCAACTTAACATGATCGGTTTCAAAAAAATAAAGCAAAAGGAACTGGGGGTAGCTCAGGGGCAGAGCACTGGCCTGGCGTGCTCGGCACTTGGAACCCAATCCTACCATCATTTGAAGAAAAAAGCCCGCCCAAGGCCAAGCTTCAGCTCAGCGGTGGCTGGCAAGTGCGAGGTCATGAGTTCAATCGACTGTACCCCCCAAAAAACAAAAAAAAGTCCTCCTAAAACAGGTAAGTGTGCTGGCTTTCATCAGTGTAGATCATGCATGCCTGTGATATACACCTAACACATATATACAAATAAACATGCAGCCACTAATATAGAATATATACATATTACATATATGTACACTCAGAATTAAATATCATGTATTCACTTATTCATGGTTACTACATAGCAATGTAGAAATTACTGCTTTTGTTTCTGCTTTTTTTTTTTGAAAGATCAGGCTGTCCTTGAACTCACTATGTAGCCCAGGCTGGCCTTGAATTTATGGTAATCTTCCTGCTTCAGCCTCCC